CGTTATCGGACGAAATAAATCGTGTAAGAGCTCGTTAATTGCGTTCTGAGGAAAATGCTGAACGACAAGCGATGTCAGTCGGATTCAATTATATAGAGATGGCATATAACATATTGCCGCGCCACCAGCCGAGTGCTTAGTTGAGTGCATTCCCATTCGGATATTCGAGGGCGGCTTAGAATAAACAGTAGGTTCATTTGTTGGAGACAACATCAAGAAGCCGTCTACAAGTTGGAGTAGGAGCTCGGCCGAAAATCGTTGCAGTGATTAGATAGCACCAATTTGGGAAATTTTTTTCGGTCTAATAATGAGTCTCTCTTCATATATTGATTTTAATCATTAAAGTATAAAAAGTTTTTTACACAGTCTGCTAAGGACCTTCTTATATATTTATAATATTAAGGGAAAACTCAAGTATTCAGAACTTCGTAAATTTTTTTTTCATCAAATCAGGCTTTTGAATGCAAAACAGTAATTTAATTAAGAGAACGAACGCAAAATTGTTTTTTTCAGCGCTCGACATTTCGGAAAAAAATGGAAATGAAGAGAATATATAAATTTGTGTACGATTTTCATCACTTTGAGCATTTAATTCAACCCTACGCGGAATTTGAAGTCTGTCAGGTTTAATCAAATGGTCTTCTCTCACTCTTTCATTCTCAGCGTATGTACGTAATGTTTGGACGAGTATGTTTTTATGCCTGTTGGTGTTAATTAGTGGTATTTGCAAATAAAAGGGGAAACGCTGCTTTTTGTCTAACTGTAATATATGTACATATGTGTATATATAATATATGCTATATTCATATATGTATATGTTAATAAGTAGTTTCTAAACTTTCCGACTGTCATTCACGCCACAGCCAATATGGGTATCGTTGTGTTCACTATACACTAACAAAATGGACCGAATTTTCCCAGCAAAGTTTTTGCTTTGTGGTTTTACTTTTGAGCACAACTTGTCAAAGGACTTTATCAAAGTCCAAATCAGATGCTTTTTTTTAGCGGAAAGAAAAATGTTATATAAATTACAAAATATCAAAGCTCTTAGATTTAAGTTCACAATGTGAGTTGACAGGCTTGTGTTGTTTGAGTAATGGTTGTCAGGCTCTGACTACTCATTCTGCTGCCCAGTCTTCCATACTGTTCAGCAACTCAGTTAACTAAAATCGATCAACTGGAAGTTTTTCTCCTTCTTGTTTTTGACGGTAAGGATATACAGTGTTATCCATTCCGTGGTTTCACAACTACTGGGTTTTACAGCTGTCAAGCCAAACAAGTTTGGTTTTAGTTAAAAGTTAAGCATTTATGAAAATGGATCACTTAACAACCGCACAACGCTTACAAGTGGAGAAATTTTCCACAAAAATAACGGTTTGTGCTTTGAGAGGAATTTATGGTGTACACGATTGTCTAAATGCTCAAGCAGCTGATAACATTTTAAGTAAATTTGAAGTAACTAGATCGAGTACAGAATTTTTTAGTTTTGCTCCTTCCACCTAAAATATTGTTGCTGTAAGTGAAGGCGTTGCCGAAGACCTGAATTTGTCTATCTTTTTACTTTCATGCTCGTCCATACGTTGGACTTTGTGTGGAGCTACGTGAAAGACTGTGGTTATCTGGTTACGTTTGATCACTTGAAAGCCAACATTAGCCAAGTTACGACCGATACAACACACCAGTTTGTGCCGAGGCACTCTTATGAATGGTGTAGTACTTCATATATATAATGCCAAGGTTCACGCTTTATATTAAAAGAAGAACTTTTTGGAAAATATTATTGTAAACACACTTTATTTACGTTTATTTTCGAAACCGTAAAAAGTATAACCTTGTTTAATATTTTAAATTGTATTTATTTCTATTATGCAGAGACCTTCATTCGGTAGTGTTTGTATGTATTATGACAAAAGTTTGCAAAATCCTTCAAAAACTAATAGCTAAAAAGTGATTACAAAACTTTCTTGTTGTACATACATATACATATATTATAATTTAAGCTGAAACATTGCCGGTAAGCTATTAAGCCATGCCATTTTTTAAATTTATATTTACCTACCTCAGCATGTATATGTAATTTAACGTTCCAATAGACAATATTTCACTCAATTTCCATGCACGAATGCTCACTTTTTGATGCGTTAAAATTGCGTTCTACGTGTAAGAGAGAATTTATATGAAGTTTGAGAAAGGCATTGCCAAGAAGTTACTATGCCTACACAACAAATGTTGACAGCTAACCGCAGCATGTGGCAACTTCGGAAACGAGCTGACGCAGAATTTGCGTTGTTTTCTTATTATTCTTGCTCATACAAATGGTTTAAAGGCAAAGACTGGAAGTCGAAAAACTTCTAGTTTGCATATTTAACACTTTTAAGTGGCCAAAATGAAATATTTCCGATATTTTTTCGAAATTCTCTTAAATAGCAACAAAACTCGTAATGGATTCACAAAAAATCTTGAAATATCTTTAAACTACAAACTTGAATTAAATATAAAATTAATATTTGCAATTTAAACTCTGATAAGAAACAATTTCAAAGCATATTTTGAACCGGTAGCTTCCACCAAAAGGACCTTTTTGGGCCTTACTTCAAGTGCTACCTCAATAGGTGTCGATCACAATGTTTTATGAAAGTGTTTTATACAATAACATCTAACTAGATGCATATTTTCGACCTACCGAATCACAATTTTTTCTTCAGGGTACTTATCTATTATTATAATTCTTAACATAGTTCTTACAAGGTTCGCTATGTCGTATGAGCAACATTTAGTCAACAAGGGAAAAATACAACCAACTTCACAAAATCATTCAACGAATAACCAAACATTTCTCCCATGATATGTGAAAAACTTTTCTTTTAAATTGACTACACTCCAAAACTTCTTTAATCTTAATCAGTAAAAAACTAAAAAGTTTAGTTTAAAAAAAAAATTGATCAAAAATCGCTAATCGAAAGTACTAGGGTTAGAAAGAAGCGAAAATATCTTGGTTTTTTCCCAACTTCACATAGCTATATTGCCACAAATATATGTGTTTAAAAATTCAAATTTTTTTTAATCAGTTCGCTCAAATTGTTAACTTGATTGGGGGCTGTTGAGTGCTTTCTCTTTCAATTTTTATATGGGTATGTGTTACAAACAGGCAGTACTGGCAGTACCAACATCGAAAATTATAGAGAATTCATTTTTCTAATTGAGGCAATCTCTCTGAGTGTCTTTCTGACATGAAATAAAGAAAAATTTCTGCGGTGGCTTAAAATAAGCTGTAGATTCCGGTATTTCTTGGTAAAACATCGTACGTTTTCATGAAATTTGAGAAGAAATTGCTCTCTAGATAGTAACTATCTTCCCTTAATTCAAATTATTCTTATTATTTCACAATATTTTATGTAGCTTTTCCATAAGCCGTTATTTTGGAAAAAACACACACTGAAATATTATACCATTATTCATTCCTTTTGAAGTTTCGTACTTATCCGACATAAAATTCATTTCATACAAATAAAATCAATTAACCCTTGAATCTTCCTTTTGCTCCTTTCAACAAGTGTTACAACTGCGGCAGATTTGCTGCAAATTGATTTGGCGTTGCTGAGCACGTCGCATTAATCGCTTTTATTATGCAGTTATGTATGCATCAACACAATCAATCGTCAATTCAATCAAACAATTTAAATTAAATTGGGTATATTTGTTTATTTCTTTTTTGCAGGCTAACAGCTCACGACACACACACATGCATACCAATTGCTTTGACTCTATGGTAGATATTTTATTTTGTAAACGTTTTTATGCTGCTCGCTTTGGAGTGATTGCAAAAAATTCTGAATCGCTGATTACTTGCTTTTTGCTGAACACAAACTACATAATTCATTTGTTGGTAGTGCGTTGTAAAGTGTTATTGAAATCCTTCATAGAGTACAACTAGAGCCAATTAACGGATCAATTTATACAGGATTATCCATTCTGTGACAACGCCATCTATTGGAAAAATTTGTTGAAAAAGCATCAATACGCAAAAACCACAAATTGGTGAAGGAGTTTGGCCAAAAAATCGCTTCAGCCGTTGCAAATATATGTTGGATTCATTTTTCCAACACCTAATAATTATATCCTTATTCAAGATAACTCAATAAAATTTAATATCTGCGCACTTTAAATCAAGACTACAATTTCACCAAAGAAGAGTGATGTACGAGGTGTAACAATAAATAAATAAAAACCGTATATTTCAAAATTATTTTACAACTCTGCCATCCTCTTTAAAGTAGTATGCTTGGGCAGCTGTACAACGATTCCAGCGCGCTCTCCATGCTTTGTAAAATTTCATCGGGCGAATAAGGGGTTTGTTGCAACACGGCGATCCTTTTAGAGGCCAAATACTGGGACATGCTGAGAGCGGTGTGACACGGCGCATTGTAGTGATGGAGGATCCAGTTACGAGCGATGTCTGGACGCAGCCTGTTGACTCGTTTTCGCAATGTTCCGAGTACTCGGTGGGAGAAATTCTTTGTAGATGATTCCACGACTATTAAAAAAGACAAAAATTTCGATTTTTCTGACGAGCACCACGAACACATGTTTACTCAACACGACACAGCGGGCGAACTAAACAAGCTGGAGCGATGGCATATATCAATGGAGAGGAAAAGGATGCCGGGAGAAGAGAAAGGGGGTTTCAAGGTCGAAGGTCCTTGTTTATTTGACCGATTTTTATACTTAAAAATATAAATATCAATCTCTTGGTCCCACCCGATCTTCGTTTTTCTTAAGTGCTTTACTTTATTTTAAAAATCCTTGGGCAGAAAAAAAACGAAAATAGTTTTCTAAACACGAAACGTTATTTGAGAATCTAAAACCGAGTTGAACTTGGAATGACGTCATTTGCATTACATTGAAATTTTTACCATAGAACAATTGGCAATCCTTCTTAAAAGTCTATTATACCATATAATTTTATTATTCAATTCGTAAATCTTTTAGCTAAGACTTACCTTAAAACTATGATTTATGTTTCTTATGTTACATTCAGTAATTTTCGCATCAGATAATTCGAACTCATCAAACACTTCACTCTGCAAGTAAACACAAATAAGAGATTTATGAAATACAATTAAAAAATAATTGAAATTTTTTTTATTAAAAGTGATATGATTTTTCAGAAAATGGAAGTAGAAAATGTGATGATCAGTAGGGTAAATTCATTATAAATAGATAGCGACCCAAGCGTAAGTAAAGTTGACTTTGTTTGGCATGACACGGCCAATTTGACACATGAAAAGTACAATATTTGTTTTAATTATTTCAAACTAGTAAAAAATATCATATTCCGTCAGCAGTCGTGAGATACGTAGCAAAATAAAGTGTCGGAACATATCAACAACAGCAGTTTGAAAAACTAAAAATAACTATCAAGTAGCTGTCATGTCACTTTATAATATATTATATATATGACATACATACATGTATGTGTGTATGTATATGCAGAATAAAAATTGTGAACAATAGTATTGTTGCACAGCAGTGACAGATATCATAACTTCAAAAACAACAGTGATTATTGTGTGATGTGCGAATTTTATAGTTTCCAGCTTGATGGTGCCGTTGCAAGTTCATACATACATGCATATGTATGCATATATCTACATACTTCAAAATAATTTTAAATTTTCCAAATATATCTATTTTATAAAAATTATCTAGATGAGCTGGATATAAGGAAATCCACATGTGTATGATATGATTGGCATAAGAGTATTTTAAAAATTAGGTTTGGACTTGCATAAGCAACGGAAATTTCAAAATTGCCACTGATACCATGAAAAGGAGTTGAATTTGGGTTGTTTTGTCTAAATTTTGTACACCGTCGCTGAACATCACCATTCTGATGGTGCTTACGAAATTGAAAAGAACTCAAAGTTATAAGATAGTCAGATGTTGTCCTGTCATCAATCATATAGCTTGTTCATATCTTGTTACCTTCGTCACATTACTTGGAAGTTATTACTTCGTTATCGTATTATTTTCGTTCACTGCCAATGAGAGTTCGCTTTGCTTCTATAACAAGCCAGGCGAAAACAGAACTAAAAAAAAAAAGAAAAGGTGTCGATTCTACTTTCAAGAATATTTTTCTAGATTTTGCGCATGATGAATGACAGTTGACTTTAGTATTTTACACAATACGTTCGAGAACCTATATTTGAACCTTTTCATAGTCGGGTAATGGCACGCCTTTTCCAATATCATCGATTAGAATTTCGTCTTCACCATCTACGGGTGCTGTACGTTCACTGCCATTCAAGAGGGCTGGAGAAATGTTTCCTCCATGGGGGCAGTATGCGCTGGACATCGGTTACCAGATAACTATTTCGCTTCTTACATAATTATGCTCCGGCCTTGAAACCTTCTGTGAGTCGCCGCAGCTTCTCAAGCTTTTCATGCTCACGCATTTTGACCCCTTTTTCAACTTTCAAACCTGAAAAAATGACGGGGTAGTAGGTTGAAAAATGGAGAGATCTTGACGAAGTATGCACCTATTATTTGGAAAGAGTAAAACCATTGAAAAAAAATTTAGACTCAACCGTAAAAAAAGTGATATTTATAATTGAATAAAGAAATTTTCGAACCGATTTCTAGTATTTGCTGCACAAGAAATCAGTTCATTATGAAATGCAGTTTGAAAACTTTCAGCTCTTGAATATTTTAATGGTGAATGCAAAAAAAAAAAAAAAAAAAAAAAATTATACTGTCGCTTTGATGATTGCATTATTTTGAAACTTTTTCATATTCATTTCGTCTGTTTGTACTTGTTTTATTTTACTATTTGGAGTGTCACTGATATCTTCGTATATTTTCAAGTGCTTACTAATTGTTATTGTTGATATGCTGCCGCTGTCTCTGCCATCTCTGCTTGTGCTGGGTCTGTTGGTGCTCGAGTTTGTCAAGGACTCTGTGACTGAAGTACACTTTATTGCAGTTTATACATGATATCAACAACAGGAAATCGTAACGAAATGCTAGTACATAATGGCATTTGCAGCTTTCAGTGGATTTTAAGAAAAAAGAAGCAAAAATAAAAATGGAAGGAATTACAAATGCATAAAACTGCGAAATATCTCGCTTTGCTGTACTGCATAAATCCATGACAATTCATATGTCCCTACGATAAAAAACTGATAGCAGTTCTACATGTCTACAATAATGGAGATCATTTTAAATCATTGCAAAAATATTTATTAACCGAAAATTAATACAAATTTACCACAATCCCTTGTGTACTTCGTTCGCAGTTGCTACTGCGATATGAATTTTTATTTATCAACTTTGCGCTTTTCTTCTGAATAATTTTTGTTAAAGAGGAAAAGTTGAAGTTTTCTAGCTTAAACGCTGCTGCTATTATTGAAAGGAAAATATTCCAGTATGATGCCAATATCAAGCATATATCAGACATTTTAATATCTGAAATGTTTCTTTTTCTTTAATTTCTGTTGTATTAAAAAATGTTGATGAGGTGCAAGGAATTAAGAGGAAAGTTAAATTAAATTATTTTTGTATAAACATTAGAACAGATAAGGTGTATGCGTCGCTTTCTTTCTAGAATATAGTCGGACGAAAGCAAACGACAATTGGAACCTGAGCATGCTATGTCCTAGGAGGGATGATGGCAAGCTTTTTTAATATTCCATAAAAGGTCTTATATCATGCGTAATGTGAAAGACGAACTGAACGTATCCCAGCAGTGTAACTTTCGTGGAAAAACACAATGAATTACAAAGAATAAAAATATACAATACCAACTTTTTTTTATTGATTTTTCAGCTGCGTCACCCCAATACAAGCCATTCGATACCATGCAAGGATTCAGGCAGATTGACCATTATCATTTGACTGCTTTAACTTACTGCTGCAGAAAATGAAACGAACAGCTAAGTGCGACGGAAACTCAAAAGCTTATGGTTTTCTTCTCTCTTTTGGTAGAAAAATTTGAAATCAAATCTATTCCTAGGCAATTATTTCAATTCCTGCATTAATTTAATAACAGATCTATTACTTATATAGTATACGTTACATTAAACGTTTTTTTTATACTGAAAGCCTGCCAAGTAACTTATATATGTTATTTACACAGATTTTGTTGCTGTTCCCAAGCGCAACTGATTTTTTCTATGAAATCATTCACTTATCTTACTGCTTTCTACGTGTAAAATTGATTCCTTCGCTTTTCTTTTACTTATTTTCGTACCTGAAAGCCATAAGTCGCTGTTGGCGCAACAACAAATCTGACATTTTTGTTGATATTTGTGATTTTATGCAAATTAAATTGGCAAGAATAATAAAAACAACGACAACTCCGCAATGTATGTTCAAAAAAAAAAAAAAAAAAAAAAAAAAAGCGCACGAGTGTACGTGAGTATTTACTGTTTATAAACATCCAGAAAAGGCGAATTGTAAGTGGCAAATGAAAAGTACATAGATATGTAAAAGAATATGGAAATTATGTTTCGGTTTTATATTTTCATACCTCATTTCTTCAATATAAAATATAACATTCAATCTGTCAAAAACTCGACTCTTTTTAAAATAAATGCTTAAATGCCAGCAAACCTTGTCAATGTGCGTTTAGACCACAAAATCTGGGAAAAAACTCATAAAAAGAGAATTCTCACACACCGCCTATTCCTCAATTTAAAAACTGACTTCGACAGGAAAACTGTGTATAGTGACGCTGAACACCACCACAAGCTCCGTCAGAATTTGAAAGCTTTGAACCCAAAATCAGCAGAATCACTCTTTCTATAGAAACAACTAGGCACTGGCAATTGAAAAGCAAAGTTCTCTATCGACGAATCAAAACCAAAGTTTAGAAATCGCTTACCACTGCTATTATATTATAAGATCCAGAAGCATTGACGTACATTTAAATATTCCTCAACACGTAGACGGAAGACACGCAGAAAATTAAAAAAAAATTGTAAATACCGCAAGCTGAAGAAAGGTATCCATTAAAATATGTAGCATCAGCACGACGAGCTGAATTGATTTACCATCGCCAGAGATTCATTTGCCTGTCTGTCCGTCTGCTTGAACGTAAATTTGTAGATCATCGTTCGAGACAAGAGCTCAAGATTTTGCCCGAACATTATCGAGCAGCCCGAGCATTTGAGTAACCAACACCCGCACACTCGTTTATTGCTTATTACTCAAGCAATTCGAACTTCTCCGAGCATTTTAGGCAAAACTTTTGTCTTTTTTCTCAGAATTTCTTTCCATAGTTTTAAATTCATATATGAAAAGTGAAAAACTCTTTGAAATGCTAAGACATAAGACAATTGAAAATTTATTTATTTCAAGAAAACATTTGAGCAGTTGAACAACGAGCAAGTATCGAGCTGCTCACATACCTCGTTACCCGGGTATCTAGATCTCTAATTACAACCGAACTTACATAAATAGGTACGCAAAAGTATTTTTATACTGTTGTGATCATTTGTCGTTACCGGACAGATTTATTCAGAGATAATTTTATGTGTAAAAAATCTTTTAAGAAAGCGTCTGGGAGTATAAATCCGAATATGTATATATAGATAGCGAAAAACGCAATATAGTAAATTGGATATTTTTGTGCAAAGGATATATACATATGTATTTAGACTTCTGTTTTTTGTTCATAGATATTCCTCACTCAGCTATACAGGAAAAAACTGTATCTTATTATATTTTACCTCTATTTAAAATAATTAGTTACAAACAAGATTAGAGCGATAAGTTTAACGAACATTGTTTGTGCCGAACTTTTCTTTAGAAAGGATATTTAGCCAGGATTAGAGAAATTAGTGAAGATAGTTGAAAATGATTTCTTCCAACCAGAACAAAGAAACACACAGTTTTTATAACATAAACACTGATTCGTGGTTAATTCTAAATTGTTGCTTAAGAAGGTATCGGCAAGAGAGAATCAGAGCGAGAAAAATGGTTGTTACTTATTCAGTTACTGTGTTTCAATCATAGATGATTTTGGATTGTCAAAGTTTGCGACCTCAGAATTACTCATTCTGATAGAGGTTGTTGGCTTCTC